GCTCTCGGCTGGGAGTTCTGCAGAGAGGGTGAGTGGGAGCAGGGCAACATATGATCAAGGGCTGGCTGTGTGACACAGATTAGGGCTGATAATCCTGCTGTGCTGCATGGGCCCCAGCACTAAACTGGGTAGAAACCTGGCACTAAACTGGGTAGAGAGGGCAGGTGAATGGGAAGCAAAAAACTCCTCCCAAGATCTGGAATCTGTTGCTGACACAGAGCCCACACGCTGCCCGGCAGTCCCTTCCACCCCCGCAGAAAGCCTCCCTGCAATTCCTGCTTTATGGCCTCTGCCAAATGAAGCACAAACTTAACTACATCACCCCCCCGACAGGACAGGGGAGGGGTTGGAGGTGACATGCTGGGCTGTTTCAGCCCCCTAATCTAATCACTGGTGTGGGTCATTTCAATTATGGACACCAGAGTGTGGTGGGGGGTGTGGCTGCCTATAAAAGCCTCCATGCTGTTGCTCTGCTAATTATGAAGCTCTTACTGTCTCGGCAGGTAAATAAGTCAGGACTGAGACATTCTGGCTGCTGAGGTGGAATGTGAGCCCCGGAATAGCATAGGGAGACCATGGAGATGGGCCCCAGGACATGGGGTGGGGTAGCCAAGAGGCAGGCACAGCCTTCCTGGAGGGACCACAGGCACTGGGATCTCTCCCTTAGGGTCATGTCCACCATTTGGGGATTGGTGGATGGACTCTTTGCCTTAAAACTCAAAACTCTCAAGTTTTCTGGAAACCTCCAAGCCATAAAAATGTAAGCTTCACCTCCTTCTACTAACCTTGCCTTTAGATGTCTAAGTAGATCCCTAAGGAGTAAGAGGGCTTGAGAGAGGAGAGTTAGTTCTATCAGAGGGGGTGTCCCATGGCTGCCCCCATGGCAGCTCTGTGGTATGCTTCCTGATCTGACCAGACCAAAGTCAGACCCTGGGTGACTGGCTGGGTCATAGAGATGGAGGAGGCTAAGCTTCCTTACCCACATGGCCCCTCCCCTCTCAAACTGGCATGGGAGTTGATGGTGAGGAGGGTGAGACCCTCTGCCACCTGAGTACAGGCCACAGGAAAGGCAGTGGAGGCTGCAGAGGCTCTGGGATCATAACCAGCACTTGGAAGTTACTCTGAGATATCATGAATGGAGGGTTTCTGGTTTGGGCCTGAGGCTATGCTTAACTAACTTTTTATTCTAGACATCAGCAAAGTCGCCAGAATGGGAGCTGTGATGTCTTGGTGAGTGCGGAAACTAGCTGAGACTCTGGAAAATGGCAGATGGTAGGAGCTTTCACAGCTGGGAAAGTCCATTGTTCCTCTGTTCCTCAGTTTTCTTCCTCTCTGAATTAGGAATCATGAAATTGATAAGCATTTGGAGGGGTTGAGCTAAAGCTGCTCTGTGCATAGGGTGGTTGATACTCACATGGAGGGTACTATTCCAGGAGGAGGTTTCTAGTATCATTTGTTAATAATGTCATTTCTTCGGGATGAAGACCCATCCCTGGGGCTTAAAATGAGTTCCTGGCAGCACTGTGTTGAAATTAGGGGTGCTTGGCCCTCCAGGTTAGGGGACAAGCTTCACTCTTGAAGAGCAGCTTCTAAGAAGCTAACATGAAGGATCTGGGGAACTTTCTGTAGGGAGAAAGCACAGGTGAGCTGTGTGGGAAGTCCCTTTGGCAGGTCTCTATCACCGAACTCTTCTGCAAGGAAGCATGTGATGACTTCAGCTCCTGGCCTTTGGATCCTGGAATAAAGGGTCTTCTGGGGAGTATGAGAGTCCATGACTGCATTCTAGAAGTGATAACTAGATGTGGGGCTCACAGGAAAGACTCAAAACTGGAATCTATCTGTTGAAAACAGGCAAGTCTTATTTTTATTTTGTTTTGTGTTATTCACTTTTCAAAATGGCATTCAATACACTGCTTCATTCTGATCCTCAAAATTCTGTGATGTGGTTAGAACAATTATAAGCAACCCCAGTGTCCAAATAGGGTCAGTCGAAGCTCTGAGTAGATAGGCTCAAGGTCTCTTGGCTAGAGAGTGATGCAGGCAGGACCCAAATCATATGTTTTCTCTAAGACATGGTTGAAAAGGAAAGAGACTCTGTTGTGCGGAGTTCACTGCAGGCCTTTTTTCCTCTATAACTGAGGAAGTGAAGCGAGCTGGGATTAATTTAGTGGCCAGTTGAACAGCTGGAGGCAGGGGAGCCCATAGTAGAAAGTAGGAAGTAAGGCAGGAAACAGGTGGATGTTTGCATGGACACTTCCTGTTCACAAACTTCTTATGTTCCTCATTTCATTAACAGCAGCAGTGGAATTTCATGGACAATTGGCGTTGAGCACTAACTGGGAGGTAATGAGAGAGGGAGGCTGCAGGTAAAGGCTGTTTGAATTTAAATTCTTTTTCTTTGGGGGATGGGGGCAGATTTTTTTAAAAGGCAATTTTAGTGCTGGGAAAAGTTCCTAGCAAACAGCATTGGACTTTTGTGTCCTCTGCAGTGACAGTCATGTCACTGAGCCCGCTATGTCTTTCTTCTCACCAAATTCTAGATGGCTTCCCTGACCAAGGGTTGAGGGATGTGGGATGGTGGTGAGCTGGGGTTGGGGGGACAGTTTGAGGGTCTGACCTCAGGTAGATTTTGTCCTTTAGACTAGGGGAAATCCACTAAAAGTGTGTCCATGATTAACAGAGAGCTAGAATGAATTGCTCTGCAATAGTTGTTGCAGATTCATCATGAGCAAAACTCTGTTGACCTGGGAAGAGATGGAGGATAGGCTAGCAATAGAAAAGAGGATTATTCTAGCAGTGTGCAATTTATTTAACAAATGACATATATGAGACCACAAAACATTAAAAGGAGAAAGATATAAGGTAATGTAAGATTAGAGAGAGAGAAGAGAGGACAGTGGCATGGGGTATGGAGATGAAGAAGGTAGGAGGAGCATGTCAACTAGAAGTAGAAGCTCAGAAGGCAATAAAACCCTTCTTCAGAGAATGGCAAGCAGGATGGTTTGACTAGATTAAAGACCCTAAGAGGGAGCCATGAAAAACAAAGAAAGTCAAATATAAGGGGAAGGAAATTTTGTGCAAACAAAGCGTGCATTCTAATTTGAGGATTCAGGTTATGAGGTCATAGGAACTGCCATAAGATAGGTTATTGTACACAGATTTGGCCAAGGAAGAGTATGAGTTGGAAGTTGATCCATTACCCAAGTGCAAGGTGATTGGCTCTTCTGTCTGGACAGGAACTATACACAGATGGGAAGCTAAAGACCATGGAGACTATGGTGGTTAATTTTCTGTGTGATCCTGAAACTGATAACCAGATATTTGGTCAAACATTATTCTAGATATTTCTGTGAAAGTATTTTTTTAGATGAGGTTAACATTAAAATCTGTAGACTTGAAGAAAACAGATCACCCTTCACCATGTGAGTAGCCCTCATCCAATCAGACAAAGGTCTTAATAGAAAAAGGAGTGACCTCCATTTTAGAAATGGAATCCTGCTGAAAATTCCAGTTTTTAAAATTTATTTATTTATACAAGTACTGGGGTACAGGTCAGAGGCACAAGAGGGTGAGAGAATTCACCAGAGACAGAGCCGGGAGCAGAACAGGCAGACGGACCAAAGACACTGCTGAGGGGAGCAGCAGGCGGGGCAGGAGAGGTCTGCTGCGCCATGTGGGTATCTTCCCGGCCAGCCGGGAATCGAACCCACGCTGCAAAGGCTGCGGACAGCTTCACAGAGTGGCCGTGCTCAACCCGCTGCGGTGCTCAACCCAGGGAGGCCCTGAAAATTCCACTTTTGAACTCAAACTGTAACTCTGCCCTGGATCTCTAGCCTGCAAGCCTTTCCTTCAGACTTTGGACTTGCTAAGCCTCCCCAATCACATAAGCGTTATGGACTGAATTGTGTCCCCACAAAATTCATGGTGTGTTCCCAACTTCCAGTACCACAGAAGGTGACTGTATTTACAGTATCTTCAAAGGGGTAATTATTTTTAAATGAGGTCACTAGGGTGGGCCCTATCCAATATGATTGGTGTCCTAAGAAGAGCAAACTTGGACACAGATATGTACAAGCATAGAGGAAAAACAATGTGAGGACAAGGGAAAGGCAGCTGTCTGGAAGTCAAGATGAGACCGCAGAAGAAGCCAACTCAATCTTGGGTTTCCAGTCCAGAACTATGAGAAAATCAGTTTCTGTGTCTGGACAGAAAATAAAGTTCTGTCCAGGAAGGTTATGGACAAAATCTAATCCATGTTTTGTGATGGCAGACAAAAGCAAGGAGAGTGAATTACAAACTGCAAGGGCCACAGCTCCCAGTTGAGCCCCTTATACCTGGTGGTATTGACTAAATGGACTAGATTGGGGCTCCAGCCTTGGTATCTGGACCCCCTCAATAGCAATGCACTTCTGAGGAGGCAGAGAGGAAGACATACTCGACGATGTTAGTGGGAACAAAAACTGCAGAAAGGTACAGGTGTGGTGGGAATTTGGTGTCAAGGCAAGAATGGAATGTGACTGCTTTGTTCTCTATCCTCTGCGGTGCCTGATACAATGCCTAGGACTTAATGGACACTCAATAAAGGTTTTGAGTCAGCGATCGAGACAGAATTGGGAAATGGAGTGAGTTTACATTTAAGAAAATTGTTAAAACATACCTATATGCTTGTATGTGCCTAGAAGTTTCCTGAAAGAGAATGCTATTAGTCTGAGAGGAAGGAACTGGGGCCAGAGGCAGGTTTAGTTTTCACTGGACATCCATACATCCTCATCATTCATCACTCTGGCTTTTCTCCTGGGTCACTCTTTTGGTAGTTCGCTAGGTATGTGCGCCTGAGCAGAATAAAAAGAGGCAAGGGGATGTGCGTTGGGGGGTGAGACAGGACGGCGAGGAGAGTTGTTTAATCCACCATTCCTTCCCCTCTAGTGTTCCCACAAAAGTCCACCAGTCTTCCCTAAGCGCTGTGAGAGAATACTGATTGGACCACACAACTCCAATCTTCAAGAGCTGCTCCACAGCACCCAGAGGGAGCACAGGGTGACAGTGTAGAGCCCCAGCACGACAAGATAGCTGTGGAAGAGCAGTCGGTCAAAGCGCTCCAGGAGGGCCAGCCACCCAAGCTCCTGTTGTTCCTCGCGGTCCCAGGTTCGGAAGTAATTGCTGATGGATTGAAGTTGGGAATAGATTTCATTCAGGGTCCCTGGCTGGGCCTGATGCTCTTGACCGATGGGGGAGTCTGTGTGATAGAGGAAAACACCCTAGATAAGCCAGGGGCTACTAAGACTCCCTGGACTTCCCACTGAAGCTGATGACCGCATCTTTTGAGGAGAGTTGTGGGTATAACTGGGCAGTAAGTTTGGTGGGGGCTGGGGGCTCTCCACCCACTGATAGGAGGCAAGGCAGTGCTGGAAAACATGGCAGCTGTGTTGTGCACGTAGGGTGTCTGGCCTCAGTCCATCTGGGAGATTTTCTGAGCAAGGGGTCAGCGCACATTGATTCAGTGGGAGCTTTAGGGGCTTGTAAGATTCTCAAAACATTTCACTTCATGCAAGTAGAACCCAAATATGTAACACTGTGTGTGTGTGCCCTTGTGTGTATGTGCTTATGAGCATACCGGCAATCTATCATTTTCAGTCCAGTGGCTCAGTCCCTTCAGGTAATTGGAAAATGAAACATCCTAGGGGCAACTGAGGCCCTGATATCCAAGCTAAGATAAGGCTCTCTTGAAAGTCAACAAGAGGTGTGCTTCAGTCCCCCGTAAATTAAACCCAGACCAGGAGCTAAGAAACAAGTGTTTCAAATTCACCGGGCCTGACATGGCTTGGTACTTCGCTGAGGGAACTGTTGTTGATAGTGATAAAGAAGACAGGGCAGGGGGCTCAAGACTTCTCACAAACCTGTTACCCCAGCAAGCTGGGTCCTGGGATCCATTCCAGGCCAGTCAGTGTCAATGTTCCCTCGAAAGCACAAGATAGGCCATTCCTTCCCACTGCAACGCACATCGTGGAGGAATTTGACTAACAGGATGGACTTAGATAAGCTGAGGACCAACAGGGCCATGCAGACAGTGAAGAAGACTCCTAGGAGAAGCAACCAAAGGAGGTGACATTAGATAGAGTTTCTGGGGCCTCTCTCTCCCCTCCGAGATCTGAAATGAGACATCAGAGCTTTGACGGGAGAGGTGTAAGATGGGCACTAGTGATCCCAAGGCTGCTTACCAATCAGAGGAGTGCTCACTGTGCTCCTTGGCATCTCATCAGCCATGTTGACCTTGAAGACGGTGTAGCCCACCAGCACACTGGTCTTGAACACGATCCTAGCACGGCAGGTGGGTGGGAGGTAGAAGCTCCCCAGATCCACAAGCATTAGGAAAATGCTCGGAATCAGCAGGTTCACAATATAGAGGAGAGGGCGCCTGCGAATCACCAACTGGTGAGGGACAAAGAGTGCATTGAAAAGGGGCTCTAAGCCAGAGGACTAGTGTTCAGTCAAAGCCACAGCCAAGAATTCACCCTGAAGTCCCAATGCTTTCCCATAGCATGAAGCCATGTATAGAAATAGAAGATTATTTTGTGGTTTAGAAAATAAGGGGGGAATCCTTTACATTTTATATAGAGCTAATATTGATATTATTAATAAGAAGAATCTACCCTTCATTTGCCTCTTGATGTATGGCAGGCACTGGAATAAGTGTTCCATATCCTTTATCTTTTTCAACCCTCATAACCATTTCATTAACAAGGAAACTGAGGTTCAAGGAGATAAAATTGCTTGTCCAAGCTCACCGGTGAGTGAGAAACTGTTTTAAAACCAGGTCTTACCCCTAAATCTTTTTTTTTTTAAATTACTTCTGATGCAACATATTGTACTGTTTAATTTTTAGTCTATCTTCTTACTTGGTATGCTAGTGCCTAAGCCCCTGCATAGCTGTCAGAGTCTTGGCAGGGACAAATAGCACAATTAAGATGGAAATCTGAGGCAAACTTAATAAGAAGACTTTTTTTGAGCTAGGCAGAGCATTAGGAAAACCACAAGAAGGAAGACTGTGCTTTGGGGATTTGGGGAGTCTGGTAAATTTTCCTGCCCTGGGGCTTGAAGGGGTCAAGGGTTGAGAATATGGCTGGAACCCAAGGAGAGAGAGAGAGTTGCGTGTGTGGGGAAAGGGTGCTGGGTAGGAGCTATGGCTTCCTTCTTTGGGAGACAGCCAGCCTGGAGGACCTCCACCGGGAGAGGAGTGAAGAAAGAAGTCCTAGCATTCTCCAGTCTCTCACCCTGCTCTCCTGTCCCCTACCGGCCAGACACCACCAAGGACCCAAGCTCTGCAGGACACAGGCAGGTCTTAGGAGCACAGAGTAGCGGTGGGGGAGAGTAGAGCTGAGTGAGGGTCACCTGAAGATATCCAGCACACCTTCAGTGAGGCCAGGCACGCAGAGCTGCAGAGTGGCTTGGGCAGCTGGGAATCTGAGTCTCAAAAAATTACTATGACTATTGTCATTTGTTTATACCGAGCTTCGTAGGGATGTTGACAGGAGCTGTCTTTCATAAGCCTTGTCACCCAGGGAATGACAGGGCTGCTTCCTCACTAGACTGTGGCCCCTTTGCAGGGGAGAGCAGAAAGTTTTTAAAACTCCCTCTTGGGGCCAAAAGTAGCAGTGGGTAGTCGATAGAAGTTTACTGAACATGAATGTTATGGCCCCTTTGCTGATGAATTTGGGGGAAAAAAAATGTCTGGAATCTCCCATTTCTCTGATTCACCAAACAACCAAATGCTTTCTACGCGGTTAGTGTGTTAGATGCTCTTACACATGGCATTTATTTAATCCTCACTGCCAGCCAGTTGGTAGGTAATATAATGTTCCACTTCATAGATTGAAACAAAATTACAGCTGAGGCCCTGAGTAGGCAGAGTAAGGGGCAGGATGGGACGTGGCCCCCTCTACTCCAATACCAAGCCCGGAGTTCTTGCTATCCGACACAGATGTAGCTGTTGATGGAACCAGACCTCAGGGCTTTTCTCCCTCATCTCTCCTGCTCTGGAAGAGAATCACGTTGAAATGAGTCAAGGTAGAGGCCAGGAATAGAGGGGGAAAGCCAGGCTGGGAGGGAGCAGGGGCTGCCCAGCCCTTGGGTCTGGAGCTCATCTCGACTCAGTGGAGCTTGGCGGGCCAGAGGCATTGGTTGGATGGCTGTTGGATTGGTAGTCAGGCTGTTGTCTTTCACATTAAGCATAATTGGCTGCAAATATCCAAACCAGAGCGACACTCACTGCTCTGCAATAATTTGGTTAAAACACATTCCCGCCGAAGTGCAGTGAACAGGAAAAACAACATCACAATGAATGTCGTGGACCTGCACCGCCCCAGCTCCTTTGTCACGCTGTGACTCAATGGCTTTGGCTAGGGGACAGCAGGATCAAAGGCAAGGGGGTAGAGCCCACAGGGTGTCTTGTATTGTGGACCCCACCTGGGCTGGGTGAAATGTGATCAAATGGAGCTGGAGGGGGGTAACCTAGTCTGCTGTCTCTGTACACGAGGAGGAGGAAACCCCCCCAGACTTCACAGTAGATGTGACATGAAGGAGGTGAAAGTATAAGAATATCACCCTAAAGAAAAGGACACGTAGCCATGTCGGTTATGTGGAAAGAGCCTAGACTTAGCGTTCCTGAGAATACTTGATTCGAAGTGCCTTCTTGTGCTGGTGTTAGTGGTCCTGGCTGAAGAGTTTAGCCTCCTCAAGCCTCACTTTTCCCTTAAAAAAAAAAAAAGGCCATTTACTTTTACCTTGCCAAACATCTTGGGTGCAATTGAGATTACTGTTGTGCTCTTTAAATAAAGTTCGTATGTAAATAGCACATGCGGAGATGATAGCTGTGAAGAGACTTTCGTCAGGAAACCAGGGGTGAATGGAAATCTGGGCAAGGACTAAAGAGTGGGCAGTGTGGTCCCTCGGTTTCATCACAACACATGTCCCCAGTGCGGTGACGGCTGTGAGGTTAGGGGAGTCTGGAGAGCGCAGTGACACAGCCACATGGGGTCCAGCCTGAGATATAATGCTCAGCTGGTGCCATTTTGAAATTGTTAATTTGTGAACAAGCATCCTGTATTCCCACTTTGCATTGGGTCCCTCCTGTCGGGAGAATATTCCTCACTAAATATCAACAGTAACTGAAAGTAGAGGGAAAGCAGGTAGGTGCAAGAGTAGACAGTTGGTTTCAGCTATAAAATAAAACAGAAATTTCCCCAGTCCATGTTTGTTGCACAAACTTGAAAAGCTAGAGAGACCCTCCCCCTCACTACCTGTCAATCCTTTCTTCTGCCTTTAGCAAGAATGTTCCCGAAGACAGACCAAATAGTAGCTACGGTTTTGTCTTGTTTCACAAGAACCAAGGACCTGAAGTTTTCTTTAGGTTGATTTAGGGACAATGTTAGCTGTGGACTAGACTAGTTTTGTCCATTAGAAAGAAACTGTGCAGCCTAAACTCTAATTTTACTACACAGTTTCCAGAAATGTTTTGTTTTCATTACCTCACTTGAACCTCAAAGCCCTTTATTCCCTTGTTCAAGAAACACTAAGTGAGCATGAGCAGAGTGTCAGGCACTATCCTAAATCCTGGACTTAGAACTGTTAATGGGACAGGTCCCTGCTCTTCCCCCAACCCCACTCCCTTCTGTGATGGGGAACCAGATTCTGGAGGTTAGTTACTCCACGAGTCTGTGATGAAGAGGAAGCTTGCCCAGAATAGACCATACCCAGAGTTGATACCTGATTTAGATGTGAGTTGTAGGTTGTAGGACTACTTGTTTTGATATTTTTTTTTGTTCTTAGTTGGTGCTGGGATATTAGAGTTGGTGCTGGGAATGTTGGGGTAGGGCGAATGCATTTTGCATGTGAGAGGGACATGCCTTTTTTGAGAGCCAAAGGTGCATTCGACTGTGCCAGGTTAAAAAATAATCCCACAACTCCATATCCCTTCTGGAAGTTCAGAATGTGACCTTCTTTGGAAACAGGATCATTGCAGATGCAATTAGTTAGAATGCCCTCAGAGTGCCCATAAGGAACCTGCCAACACCTTGATTTCAGGCTTCTAGCCTCTAGATCTCCAAGAGAATAAATTTCTATTGTGTAATGTCACCCTATTGTTTAATGCACCACAAACCAGTACTTCATTAGTACCACAAACTTGTCCCATATCACACAGTGGATGAATGCCAAAGAATGAAATGAAATATACTGGATTATATTGAACTGTGTGCCACCATAAAATAGGATTGGGAACGTGGTTTCTATACTCAGATTGCCTGGGTTCAAGTGCAGTCTCCACTAGTCACTCTGTAATTTTGGACAAGTCACTTCTCTGCACCCAACGTAACTGTCTATGAAATTGTGCAACTTAGAGGACCCACCTCGTACAGATGACAGGATTATATGTATGCAGTCCAGAAATGGTGCCTGACATGGAGTAGGATCAATGTTGTGGTTATTGTAATTGAGTCTCCCTGGGTAGATTTTGAGGTCTGTGATAGACCAGGAGCCTTGATTTATCATGCTTTTGTCCTCAGTACTTCTCACTGAGCCTGCCCATGGTAAGAACTCAAAAGATATCTGCTGAGTTGTACCGGATGCTATTTTTATTTCCCGTGGGTAGGAGTGTGGAGTTAGTCCAAATGAGCCTCTCATTTGGGGGTCGGTCCTCTCATCTGAGGGCTTCCTCTCTGCGGGTCATTCCAGAAGCACTAATCCCTGCCTGCTGAGGGGCAGGTGTGACACCAGCTCGGTGAGACACTGCACTCTACAGAACTGCCCTTACCTAGAGCCCATCACTTCTAATGGACTAAAGGAGCTGGTGCCTTTAAATTTCCCAGAAAGGGAAGAAAAAGCACTTTAGTTTCAGTCCGTGTTCTCCATTAGACACCCTTCAGGTGTTAGCAATATTATGCCACAATTTCATTATCCATTAAAGCCAGGTAATAATAAGTACACAAAGGTATTTGGAGCCTATTGATGTTAATGAAAGAGATCAATCTAATTCAGAATGTGTGTGTGGAGAGCTCCTTGGAGATGGAATGGGCCCCAAGGTTAGTCTCTAATCGCCTCCTTGATGGTAGACCCCACCAGTACTCAATTTTGCATGACCGTCTTTATGACATAGTTGGAATTTTGACGCACAGACTCACGCTTCATACAGAAGCCCATTTTCCTCCTCTCCAGGCCCCTCCCAACATTCCCAATTCAGAAATAATGGGAAAGTTGCTGCCACTTAAGGAAGATCCTTGCACTGGAGTGAATTTCTTGGATCTGGACCAGGAGTGGGGATGGCCTCGCAGAAAGCCCATGCTTTTAGGGTGACTTGAGTGACCCTACAGAGATTTCTAGGACTCAAAATTCTTTCTCCTGGTGAAGCTCAGAAGGAGCTTTTATCAAGTTGATGAGCAACATTCAATGGATATCTCAAAACTCTACCCTAATCTAGAAAGAAAAATTCTGTCAGGAAAAAAAAAGGGATCAATGAGGCACCTTTTTTCTTAAATGCCCTTTTCCCCAACCCCCCTCCCCATTTTTCTAGTGGTCCTCTGTGGGCCCCCACAGAGGCCGAATGAACATTTAACTCCATGTGAGGATCTCTGTGGTTGGGCATCCCTTAGTTCCCACAGGCGTCCACCTTTTCCCAACTAATATGTGTTCTTAAATTTTATTCCTACCACCTCCCACTTCTACTCTCATTGTTTAAAAAGACCAAAATGTTGCCACACAGAAATCAAAATTCACCCTGCTATCTCTAGTAAGCAGCAACTCTGATCATGTATTGGAGGAAACCACCCTCTAAGAGCTGCCGGATCTGGTATCAGGCTGCACACAGATTTGCTTGTAAGCAGACATGCCTGTGTTTGGGGCCCAGGTAGGATGCAGATCCAAAGTGTCAGTGTGCTCTGATAAGCAATAGGTGCCTGAGAGCTGGAAGATATGATTGTGCATTAGCTGAAACTAACAGTATATCTGAAGCATTTGATTTAGCATCAATGGTTGCAGTATACGTCAGGCCAAGATGATAACATATTTAGAATAGATCATTTTCCTCTCACCCGCCCCACTTCTCCCACCTCTCCCATCTATCCCCAAAGCCTGCTGAACAGCCTGGACTGACACAGAAGAGATGAGTAGACTAAGAGTGAGACAGTTCTTTGCTGTCAAGATCATAGCAGGCCTGATGCAGGTTTGGAATTGGGTGCTGAATTTCACATCATTGACCAAGAACTGTTGAAGGACACCAGGACAGACTCTTGCTAACTTCAGAGTAAGGTGCCTGAGATGGCACAAGTCAGCGCAAGCCTAGCCACAGAACACAGATCAGGCATGTCGAGGCAGGGGGCTCAGAGAAGTGGAGGGAGACAGTGAATTGGGGTCATCACTGAATCCGCTTTAAGTCTTTCTAAAGTTGTAGAACCACTCCCAGGTCTGCTTCCCTTCCCTACCAAATATGATCTGTGACTCTTTATCCTCTCTGTTCCAAAGGGCCATGGTGAAAGTCAGTCCTACTTAACCCCCAGGGCTAAGGCACCCTGGAAAAAGTTCGAAGTGCATGGAACTCTATCACTGCCTACCTCCAGCACACCTCCACGCAAACCCTGTAAACGGAGAAGCAGCATGGCAGTGAGGGGAGCAAAGGAAATGGACAGTGGTTCCTGAAAACCAGGGAAGCATCCCTTCCTTAAACAACCTTTCACACCTCTGTTAATCATATTTAAAAGTCGATGTAGTCAATATACAGATATTGTTTTACAATGGCGTATGCCTAAAACTTTCATTTTCTAATACAATAATTCCAATTAAAAATATGTAAATAAGGGGAGCCAGTATATAGAAAGCCTTTCACCACTGTTGAGAATGAAAATTAATATTTAGGTGAAAGATGATGTGTAACTAAAAGTAATAGCTAAGAGAGAGAGAGAGAGAGACAGAGCGCACAAGACAGAGTGCATTCCTTTTTACCTGCCCGGTCTCTTGCCTTTGTCTGTCTCCTCGTGCAGTGCAGGTAATGGTGTGTGCAGTGTTCTCCGGAGTGCTTGGTAGGTGACTACATTCCACCTTGCACGTGCTACTCCCTCACATTTTCTTTTAATGCTCTCCATTATTCGGGCTGCATTAAAAATGTTTGTGGGCTGATATCTTTAAAATTAATGAGGTGTTTACTCTTAGCCAAGGAACTCATTGAAATTAAAAAAGCTTTTCCTCCTCCCTTTCCCTCACTAAAAAGAAAAAGTGGACAAACAGGCCACAATTCAAGCTTTTCTATGTAAAACATGGGGCATAAGCAAGAACACAACCCCACCACTAGGAAGGTATGAGTTGTCATTAGCTAGAACCCAGCTTTTTACATAAGTCAGGTTCAAACCACAACTGTTTCTGAGGTCCCTGTTCAACAAGAGCTTTGTTGGAAAGCTGCATTTGACCACTTTAACCAATGGAGAAACATCTGTGCCCTCAATAATAGTCTATTTCACCACCATCACCCCTTACCATGTAATTATCTGCTGTCGCACCTTAATCTAATCTAAAATTTTCTTCTTACTCAAAGGTTTTGTTCTCCATTAGACATCCTTCTTCTTCTTCAAAAGAATGTATCTACTGTGCAATTCTGATCTGCCTGTAATCTCTACATTTCAATCAGATCCATAAACCGGCATGAAGCACCCACTCCAACCACCATTAGGGGACTTTGCACAGAAAAGCAGAGCTAAATACTAACAATGTGAACCCGCAGGTTGCACTGGCTGCAGACCATGAGTCAGGACAGTTTGCCAGGAAGGAAGAATGATTGCTCTGGGAAAGCAGTCCACTTCACCATCCTGCACCCTACTGTCCTCACCCCATCCCACTCAGACCCCTGCTGGACACATTTTCCTGTGAACAACGCAGCCAAGAGCATCCCAGGTGGGCATCTGAGGTCAGGTTCTCATCATGTCCTTTTCAGGGCAGTTATTCTTTCTGATCTTGAAATCACATAGTCTCTGAGGATCCTACAGGTGATCGTCAGCTCTCCTCTCAAAATATTTAATAGTATGATAATTTTATGCATCTTCATCTTGAATTAATAATTTACTCAATTAAAAACAGAACAATAATGTTGAAAAGGCACTTTCTCTCAATTTTTTATTGCTGTGTGTGGGTTTTCACTCTCACCCCAACTCTGGGTAGCAATTAGAAGTGAGAAAGTATGTACTAAAAGACTGGAGGGCTCTTGCTGGTGTGGGTGGTTCAGATCTCTGGCATCTGAAAACTATTCTCTGTGTATTCATTTTGGTGATATATATTGCATGAGTCAGGATCTGAGTCCTGACCTCTGGTCTTTAAAATGCCAGAATGCAAGTGGATGCCCAGAGCCATCTGAATCAACAGTTCTTAGATGATAATGAATGAGAACATGCAACAAAGCAGAGATCCCTCAGTTCAACAGAGAAGTCCAAAGACTGTAGAGAAGTGCACCCTGGGGATGGGAAGGAGAGGACCTACATTAAACTGAATTTGTGCGAAATCTCCAGCGCTGCTGTGCAGGATGTTGTATGTTGAGGACACAGAAAGAAGTTCCCACTCACTGTCATTCAAAAATGCCTTTTTGTCATGATTAATGTCATCTTTGCTCCTCAGGAAGGCCAGGTCTACATCTTCCACTGAAAAATAGCAGAAACAATCATCTTCCTTGGAGAGAGGCACCGACAACTACTTTGCCAAGTCCTGATTCATATCCTTCCTTTTACTCTTGCTTCCAAGTGTATGGTCTCACTGGGATAGGATTCAATATAACCATTTGATGGAGGATAGAGGTGTGAAGTAAAACCTTTATAGCTTTTGGATTTAAATTTTGGGGTTTGATGCCATTATCCATAGATTGATGAAGCCAATCCTATGACGTAGATAATGTTCTCAATAGCAGTAGAAGCCTAACATTTTATTCCCAAACTAACAGTAGCAAAGGGCTGTTTATCTGGGCACAGCACTGTACTTGATCTGAATTATAGCAAGAACCAAATAACGTGAGGAAGATATTTATATTTTTTTAAAAATCAATTATGTTCAAAATGGACATAAGGGATACCATAATATAATTTTATTTATGTGTGCCAACCTAGGATGACTGTTTTCCAACTAGTGGACTGTACCTGTCATGGTTTACCTGTATGCAGAATGCTATTGAAGGTCAGGCTACAATTCTGGATATCAAATGGAAAAGTATATGTCTCTAAACTGCATGCAGAGACTACTTGGATGGGCCTGGAGTTCTTAATGGTCCCAGATGAGTTCACATACACATAGGGAAGATCAGGTGCTCTTTCACTGGCCACACTATATAAAACACAAGTAACCTTGTTAAAGAGTGATTCAGCCATTTCAATACATAAACAAAAACAGTTATGGGACCAGGACATCCAGGACAAGGCTAGAAGTGCAAAAGAAGAGTCACATTTCCTATGAAATAATAACCCTGGCAAACACAGGCTCATAAGTTAACTCACCTGCTACTGTTATAACACGAACATAATCTTTGAGTAACCACAAGCATTGGTAATCAAAGCTGTCCTTAAATGATGTGAATTCATGTTACTTTTAACCTCAATGATCTCAACAATATTGTTTAGAAGTTTAGAAAGAAAAAAATGGCAACAATGACTAAAAAAGCAGCAACTGAGTTGAATATTCTAAGTCTATACCCCCAGAAATATACCCAAACACACTTACAACTCGTTAATGATGATATCAGGGGCCCAGAGGGCACTTAAAGGTAGGGAGATCTCTCTAATATCATCAAACAAACTGGAGTTCCAAGACAAAAACTCATCATCCCATATCTGTTAAGAAAAACCAAAAAGGAAATGTATCAAAAGGGGTAATGTTGACCTCACCAATGAACTGAAGAAGTATTTGGACCAATAACCCAACTGATCAGCCTGTTAGTTAGCACTATCTGTTAGGGAAATGGACTACCCATCTAAATCCTAAAGATGGTAGCCCCAGTGAGAAATCATGGATTCCAACAACTTACATCTGCTGCAAATCTAAGGAAACATAAACACAAAGTTAGTATCTATTCTTTAGAATAATTATATTTTGCAACAGATGGCAATCAGAAGTTCAGCATGCATGGAAAGAAAAAATCACTTACCTCACGGTACCATATACTTGTTTTTAATTTTTGATTCTGCGCATCCTGCAAAGCAAAAAAGAAAATCCACACCAACCTTAAAATGTCAGTAAATCAAAGCTCAATTCAACAGTATCTCATAGGAATAAATTAAAATCTAACTAAATCATGCTGATTTTATTATTTTTTATTTTTTTATTATTTAAATTTTATTTTTATAGTCCCCTTACAATTACAACCCCTTATTTTGACCCCAAGCCCTCCTTTCCCTGCCCCCCATCCCCCATAGAGTGTCTCTGGTTCATAGTTGTTTGTTGATTTTTATATTTTCTTTCTTATAGTTATTCTTTTTCCTGGTCCCTTATTTAAGTTTTCTAGATTCCTGCTATGAGTGAGGCCATCCGGTATTTTTCTTTTTCTTTCTGGCTTATTTCGCTGAGCATGATCCCTTCCAGCACCATCCATGTTGCTGCAAATGGCATGTGTTTATCTTTTTTGAATGCTGAGTAATATTCCATGGTATGTATGTACCACATTTTCTTGATCCAGTCATCTATTTTTGGGAATTTGGGTTGTTTCCAAAGCTTAGCTATTGTAAATAGTGCTGCTATAAACATAGGGGTGCAGGTGTTCTTTGGAATTGATGTTTCTGTGTCCTTTGGGTAAATACCTAGGAGTGGAATTGCTGGATCATATGGAAGCTCTATGTTTAGTAGGTCCAGAAATCTCCACACAGCTCTCCTTAGTGGTTGGACCAGTTTGCACTCCCACCAGCAGTGCAGCAGAGTTCCTTTTTCTCCACATCCTCGCCAACATTTGTTGTTGCTAGATTGTTTAATATGTGCCATTCTCACTGGTGTAAGATGGGTATCTCATGGTAGTTTTGATTTGCATTTCCCTGATTACAGTGATGTTGAACATTTTTTCATATGCCTGTTGGCCATTTGCATTTCTCTTCAGAGAAGTTTCTTTTTAGCTCTTCTGCCCATTTTTTGACTGGATTATTTTCTTTGTTGTTGTTGAGTCTCATCAGCTCTTTGTAGATTTTTGTGATCAGTCCTTTATCATTAGTGTTGTGTGCAAAAAATGTTCTCCCAGTCGGTGGGGTTTCTCTTTGTTTTTGTTATTGTCTCTTTTGCTGGGCAGAAGCTCTTTAACTTGATGTAGTTCCATAAATCATGCTGATTTTAAAAGCATTACCTTGACTTTTCAATATCTGAATAGTCTGTCTCTATTTATTACACACCCCTGTCACTATGAGCTTTACTATATGATCTATGACAAAACTGTACTTTGTACTCGACATTTTGACTGATTTACTAATCTCTTTCCCACTTTAATTAGTTACTCTGCCAATAATCAGACTGAAAAATGATATGTAATCTTAGCCAATTCTGGGCTAAAATGTGAAACCAAGCCTTTATTTGTAATCAAGATATTGTCATAATCTTCCCATGAATGTTATCTCAATTGCTATTGGCAGTCATTGCTGTTAAGTTACCATTGTTTGGATTTTGTGGCTTATAAAACAGAGTGAATGAGCTTAATGTAAATGAGATAAATTTTGATGATATAATGGATATGATTTCTCATGTCTGTAATGAGTCAGTGATTTTTTTAAGACTCCCCAAAACAACCACACTAAAAGCCTCCTTACTATTTTTTTCATATCTGATCTAGTAAAAATACTATGAAGCCATTGTGTTCATAGGGATTAAAATGAAACTCTCACACCATATACAAACAGTAACCTAAAATATAGCATAACTCTTAAATGTAAGTGCTAATACTATAAATCTCTTAGAAGAAAACATAGAAGTAAATTTTCATGACTTTGAATTAGGCAATTGTTTCTTACACATGATAGTATAAGAATAAGCAACAAAAGGAAAAATAATGGGACTTGATCAAAATTAAAATTTTTGTGCTATAAAGGCTACAATCCAGAAGCAAAAGATAGTCCCAACACCATTTATTTAAGAAACTTTCTTTCCTTACGGTATGTTCTTGGCTCCTTTGGCATAAATAAGTTCTCCTTATGTGTGTGGATTTGTATCTGAGCTCTCAATTCTGTTCCATTGATCTATGAACCTATTTTTCATCCAACATCATGTCGTTTTTATTACTATAGCACTGTTGTATAGTTTAGTCAGGGAGTTTGAAAATGTTGGTGAGGATGTGGTGAAAAAGGAACTCTCCTACATTGCTGGTGGGAGTGCAAACTGGTCCAACCACTATGGAAAGCTGTCTGGAGGTTCCTCAGTCTACTAAAAATGGAGCTACCATATGACCTAGTAATTCTACTCCTAGAGATCTACCCAAAGGACACAAAAGCATTGATTCAAAAGAACACCTGTACCTCCATGATTATTGCAGCACTATTTACAATAGGTGAAACCTGGAAACAACCCAAATGCCCAAAAGTAGATGACTGAATCAAGAAGATGTGGTATATAGACACAATGGAATATTATTCATCAATCAAAAAAGATAAACTCATGCCATTCACAGCAGCATATTTATGCTCAGCGAAATAAGCCAGAAACTCTATGGGGACTATACCTGAAGGGGTGGGGGGAAGAAAATATTGTTCAAAAATGAGCAATGATGTAAAAAATAAAGAAAATTAATAAAAATTTAAAAAAATAAAGTCAGGGAGTTTGATACCTCCATTATTGTTATATTTCCCTCAGGATTACTTCAGCTTTTGGGGGTCTTTTGTAGTTCCATACAAATTTTAGGATTATTTTGTTCTACTTCCATGAATAATGCCATTGAGATTTTGAAAGTGATTATATTGAATCATTACATTCCTTTAGGTAATATTCTTAATTTCTAATGCAAAATGACGAAACTAGTCCACTGTCTTACACCATACATAAAAATTAATTCATAATGGATTGAAGAATTGAATTTAAGATCTGAAATCATAAAATAAAGAGAAGAAAATGTAGGCTATAAAATCCTTAACATTGAGATGTGTCTTTGGAGATTTGACTTCAATAGCAAGGGAAACAAAAGCAAAAAATAAATAAACAGGACTATGTCAAACTAAAAGGTTCCTACACAGTGAAAGAAACCATTATCAAAATGAAAAGGTAACCTGCTAAATGGAAGGAGATATTTGCAAGCCATACATCCAACCAAAGAGTTAATATCAAAAAGAACACATAAAACTCAACAACATAAAACCAAATAACCTCGTTAAAAAATGGGCATAAGATCTGAGTAGACAATTCACCAAAGACGACATTCAGATGACCAATGGGCAAATGAAAAGATGTATATCATCACATATTATCAGGGAAATGTGAATCAAAACTACCATTTATATCTGTTAGAATGACTATGATAAAAAAGACAAGAAAGAGTGTTGGCAAGGATATGGAGAAAAGGGAACCCTTATACACTGTCGGTAGGAATATAAACTAATGCAGTCACTAAGGATAATAGTATGGATCTTATTTTTAAAATTACAAGTAGAACTACACTACTGAGTATTTACCCAAAGAAAACAATAACACAAACATGAAAAGATATCTGCACCTCTACATTCACTGCAGCATTATTTACAATATCCAAGATATGGAGACAACCTAAGTACCTATTGATGGATTAATGGATAAAGAAGATGCAATATATATGATGAGAGAGGATTACAGCTATATGTTATATGCAATGGGATACTCCTCAGCTATGAAAAACTAAATTCTGCCATTTGTGACAATATAGATGGATCCTGAGTTTATATGCTCAGCAAAATAAATCAGATGGAGAAATAACGTATGCTTTCAATCATGTGTAATATAAATAAACAAAGCAAGTGAACAAATAAAATATAGTAAAACAAAAACAAACTCTTCATTACAGAGAACAGTTTGGTGGTAAGGGGTTTAGAGGTGGGAGAAATGGGTACAGGGAGTCAGTTGTATGGCAATGAATAGCAACCAGACTTTTGGTGGTGATATGCGATGCATGATATTAGATGCATATGTTGAATTATAATGCTGCAGCCCTGAATCACAAAATGTTATAAATTGATGTTACTACTATAAAAATTATTTTAAAAAACATATAAAGCTCTCTATTTGTTGACACTGGGAGAAAGCAGTAGTAAAAAGACAACGCACATAATAGGAGAAAATCATATCTGGCAAAGGACTTACATCCAGAATATTTAAATAACTCTTAGACTCAACAATAAAAAAAATAGCTCAATTAAAAAATGGGCAACAAAGGACAAAAATCAAGAGAGTGAAAAGCAACCCATAAAGTAGAAGAAAGTATTTGTGGCTCATATATCTGAAAAGGGGTTAATATCCAGAATATTTAAAGAATTCCTATACTCAAAACAAAACAAAGAAAAACAATTGAAAAATGGACATAAGATGTGAATAAACATTTCTTCGAAGTAGATATACAGATGACCAAGAAGCACATGAAAATATGCTCAACATCACCACTATGTACCAAGTTGTTTCCTTCCAAAATTCACTTGTGATTGTATTTGAAGATAGGATGTTTAGTGGGTGATTAAGGTGAGATAAGATCATGAGAGTGAGCCTTAATCCAACAGGATTGGTGTCTTTAGAAGAGGAAGAGAGAACAATCTTTCTCGTTCTTCTCTGTGTAAAGACACAGTGAGAAGGCTGCCTTCTGGAAACAGAAGGAGAGCTCTCACCATGAACTTTGCAACTTTGCAAAGAACTTTGAGCTTGACTTTTTGAACATCCAGATAGGAGAAATAATTTTCAATTGGTTAAGTCACTCAGTCTATGGTATTTGTTATGGCAGTCTGATCAGACTAGTACTATCGCTAATCACTAGAGACATGCAAATCTAAACCATAATGAAATACTACTTCACACTCATTAGGATGGCTACTGTTGTATTTTTTTCTATGGAAATTTTCTAGTTATATTTTTTATTAATTTCTAGCATAACTCCACTGTTAGAGAACATATTCTATATAATTTTGATTATTCTAATTTTCTTGAGAGTTATTTGAAGGTCCTGCATATGAGTTAGTTTGGCACCTACTCCATGTAGTTTTGAAAATTTGATTC